TAGTCATATTTGCGCCGACATATATAATATATAATAATTGTAAATGTATAATAATATGATAATTAATGAAAAATTGTAACATTAATTTGAAAAAGATATATAAATATGTAGTTACAGACATTCTTAGTTCCGCTGGCGTATGCGTGAGAGAAAGAGACGCCAGACAGACTGACGCCGTAACGCGTTACGTAACGAAACGGTTTACCCTCCCATAAGAAGTTATCACTTCAAAATCATTTTTCAGAATAATTAGCCGTTTTTAAATAGTCGGGCAATACTCATAAATCTGAACTAAGATTTCATGACACGATGTGTAAATAAGTTTATAATTTCGTAATGTGACACTCGTTGAGTTTGCTTTGTGTCGGCGATGTTGCTGACTGTATTGCAATACAGATGAATTCAAAACGGGTACCAAAATCCGGCTTGTTTCTGCCACGATGCAACTATGTTTTTGCTTTGAAGAACAAATAAACCTAAAACCTATATAAATGTAGAATAGAGATCGCAGCGCATAAAATAAAACTTCCACTGTTCCAAAATCTTCTGTTAAAATAATAATTAATAATTAACAGTATTATTACGTCTTGCTCATTTTTCAACCGTCCTCGACATCTTCCAATTCTCTGTCATTCTCTTCTCCCTTTCTTTCCATTTTCTCTCACTCACATCTTAACACTCCGTTGCACACTCTTTTCATACGTTCCGTTCTTACCAATCCTACTTAAAAACTACAAAACTATATACTTAATACCTATAAATACTAAATTTAAATTATTTTAACATAGACAATGGCTTAACCGGTAATCGATCTCGGATCCGTACTGTCAAGAAAGCTGTTAAGTAGGCTATCCACGAATGTAAGCTCTCCAAGCTTTTTATTTATATTTAACACATGAAAATAGATCGTATAGTGTCCAAGTTTACCGTAATAAGTAACCGTAATTGTCTTAATATCATAATTACTGTTATCTATTTCGATATAATTTTATTTAGCGTATTCTTTGGTATTATTATTAAATTCTTTATTTCTGATAATGATCCATATAAATGTTAGTAACAGTGATTTCTTAAAAATAATTTAGTAAGGACACAGTAATAAAATAAAACAATAACCCACATACTACATACGATTGCAATAGCGGCATTACGAGCAAAGTGGACCTCTCTGCAATGATTCGGAAAAGGTCCATCTAATCTAAAGAATATCATGGCCAGGATGCTGTTGGAGCTAGCCTCTACCCTGCAGAGCAAGGACGCGCATCGCTTTCTTGTGTGCTATCCATAGATTATACACTTAATATATTAGAGATAGATGCGCAACTCTCATTTTTATTTTTGCTTTAGTTAAAGCCCGGTCCAGCAGGCGTCGCTACGGTCGATTATTAGTCTCCCTACCCCCCACCAGGTGGCTTTTTTAGTAATTTTAATATTTTTAATAACTCTCTTTATGAAAAAATCTTATCGTTTAGAATCNGTTCTATTGAACACAGGTGGCGATGCGGCACGATTACTACAGGACAAAGAAAAAACACAACAAAACGGAAATAACAAAAAGAAACAAAACAATTAAACACTTCCAGGAAAGCAGTTTGTCGGCAGATGTACCACGAACACAGAAATAACGAAAGGAAACAAAACAAATAAAAACTTCCAGGAAAAAACACTTGGTCGGCAGATGTAGTGTGGCACTCGGGAACTGCCGCGGTAAAGCTATTGCATAGCATTTTTTATCAACTTATGCAATTATAATTAGACAATGATTATAATTTAATATTACAACAATAATAAAACAAGACCACGCTATATTAAACATTAAAAAAAGCAAAACCTTAACTGTCCCCTTCACACTCATAAGCTAGGCCGCGCGAGAGAGAGATGTGCAGACTTTTCATGATGCGCATGCAGTGTGACGTCACGCCACGCGCTTATTCACAAACACTACACAAGCGCAACGTGTGAATATGTTGAACGCGAGCTACATGGTAGGCGGAGTGAGGGGTGTAAGGTTTTTTTCGTTACGGAATTTCATGATTCCGCTCTCAAGCTGCGCTCAAGGCCCGCGATAAAATCTATGCAATAGCTTAAAAAAAAAAAAATGGACTCCATTAACAACTTAAAAATAAGTAGTCTATGGTCGGGTGGTCTATACGGTTAAAAAGCTTGTTATCATAGTAAATGAATTAGAAAACTCGCACTCTTCAGTTATAAATGATCAGGGATTAACTTGTTAACTCCCTGCTAGTCTTTAAACCATAGCAATTATAGTTTTGCGACAAAAATACCCATCATTCGGTTCCCATTGCGTCTGGGCTCACAGCACTGCCCATTATCATCCAATGTAATAAATCCGTCCTCCAAACTATTACAACGGTTTTAGTACAAATTTAATTTGGCAAATTGTAAAATATAGTTGTACGGAGCGGTTAGCATCCCTCCAGCAATTCGTCTGGAGCCGTCATCTAGTTATGACGAAACTTCACCCTCGGGATGTTTTACGGCCTTATTTATGGTTCGAGGGATTCCGAGGATATATTCACGCTCAATGCTCTTATGCGGGACCAGCAGAATTCACTTAAAGTGTAGTGATATTAAAATGAGCACTTCATCGGGGCGTAATGAATAAGACGCCCGATTTAATCGAGTAACGCGATTACACCTAAATTCAATAGACAGGTTAATTACTGGCCTTTTTCAGGTGTAACAGGCAACATGAAATTCCGACTCAGATCTGATATTTGCCTTGTTGTGATCTTTATGGCCTCTTGCAACCACATTCCACCGTTCAAACAGTGAACTCATGCGCCGTGGTAGATAGAGTAATACTTATATAAGAAAACAATTTTTGTTGAAAGTTTATTTTAAAGATACAATTTCTGCCTATCCAGCACCAATTCGAGACAACGGTTGCGAGCGACCTAAAGACGAAGCCACGTTGCACTCCAGTGCAACGCTCTTTACATGTTTATTCCATAAACATGCCTGCCTATGAGATTTGAGCACCGAGCTCTATGGAATAGCTTTATGGAATAAACATGTAAAGAGCTCGCGAAATGCTGGGGGAAACATAAAAATATTATGTTGATATTATTTCTGCCAGCCCGCGTAACTCGAGCGCCACCCTCCGTTGACCTTAAGTGGTTGACAGTAATCCCCCTAAATAAATAAATCTCAAATATTTGCACCGATTCACTTGAATTGATTCACTTTAGCCGTAGGTACACACCGATCTATTAGCTAATTGAACGCTCTGTGCTCGCTCCACTCCATCGATATCTCCGCTTCGAAACGGGATTAATGATGAGCAGAATTGGTCTTGCTTTTTTGCACTGTCTAAGAGTGAGTTCACAGAGTAAGTCAGCAAGACTCAAGGCCAAGACAAAGCCTGTCCTAGTTTTGTTGTATTTGGTCTTAGCCATGTTTTTTTCATCACTAAACGAGACGCGTTAACTTTCACTGTGTATGTTTTTTCCCTACCTAAGCTGATGGTCTTGAGAGACCATTTCAGCGTAACCTTAACTAGTAGGTGAGCGAATGGGGCTCAAACCTGATGTCGTTGCTAACACTAGCCCTAGAAAGAGCAGTGCTTCGCAGAATCTACCACCGGATCGGAAACGCGACCCACTGAGAAGATCCGGCGAGAAACTCAGTGGGCTGTGTCTGAGGGTCTGCCTACTACTGCCGCTCTGTAACCATGCGTTCCGGTTTCAAGGGCGAGGTAGCCGTTATAAAATTCAATCGGGTCATCAACCTCATTTCTCTAAGTGACCAGCGGTATTCCCGTAGTAATGTCCAGAGGCCGAGTCACGAGTACATATTAGATCTCCATTTCTATCAATAAAAAACCGTTTTCCCTCAGCTCAACAAGCCACGAACGCGTGACAAATCCGTACCACGTCAACTGCCAACAATTTCCATGATTAATCACATATATTTTTATATATCGATGGCGAACAATAAAACATTTCCTCCCTTGCATTGTCACTAATATCTTGGTTACATCGATGCGTATCGTGAAGGGTGATGCTGCATTCTGATTTCAAGAGATATCTTAATGTGTATCAGGATTTATTGATGTTACCAATGTTAGTGCACGACTGAATTCGACACATGTACCGTTACAGATTGTCTTATTATCATCGTATCGCTCACGGGTTACCAAAGGTCACACATACACACAATTCGAATGCCTAATGTTAGGCGTAAGATATTTTATACTCTGATTTCTCAGCCCGGGTGCCGTTAAATGTTAAGAATTCTAATACGGATCCTGACCGATACGGAATACTGTAAGGTAGATAGAAACATGCATTCGCTAAGTCTTGCAACTGTCCAGTTTGCCGGTACTGGACAAGGGTCCACACTTTAAAGTTGCTGTGAGTTTTTGGATGTTTTTTTTTATTGCTTAGGTGGATGGACGACTCCACAGCCCGTCTGGTGTTGTGCTTACTGGAGCCCATAGACATCTACAATGTAAATGCGCCACCCACCATAAGATATAAGTTTTAAGATCTCAGTATAGTTCGAGTACTAGCTCGGTGATTCTAAAATAACTCCTCGAGGTTACTAGAATAGGTAGGAAAACAGAAAAAAAATCGTAAAGTTGATGCAAATAAGTAAACCAAGTAGGAAAGGTGAATACATTTAATATATTGTAAAATAGTGTTTACAATTCGTCAATAGATGTCTCTAAGAAAAAAAACTGCCAAAGGTGTAAAAAATATTAAACAAAACAAATAGTATTCACAAATCACTAATTTTATCCCGTATGAAATTCACAAAACTATTCAAAATTTACAGTAGCTTAATGCAACCTTCGGAAGTCATAACAAGTTGTTTTTGGGTCATCATCCAAAACCACATTTAGCATCATTTGCAAACATACATCTCGTTACAAAATTAAATTTTATTAAATAATTCAATGAAATCACGGAAATATTAATGATTCATGAGTCAGACTCTGACGATGCGGTGCGTCCGATGAATCAGCTGTGACGAGACGTGAAAAAATCAATAACAGGCATTTAGTGTTACTTCTTAACCAAGTCTCTCTGACATACAACGTTACGTTACACCAATTTTAAAGTTATTTCAACTTCGTAAGAGTATAGCCATAAGATTTGGTGTTAAAATAGCATTTTAATCGATCGAGTAAATTGATGGAAATTGAATTGCCACTGCAGTGAAGGTGGCCGCAGGTATTCACTGACTGCTGTCTAAAAAGTCCAGCAGATGGCGCAGTAGTACTCGTGATGTTGTTACACACTGTAGGGGCGTATAAGTGCTTGAGTGAAATTTTTCGTGTTTTGTGGTAAATCAAGTGCTAAATACAAACTAGAAACGGTGAGTAGAGCTCAATAATAACACAACAAGCCGTTAAGAGTAGACGCGATGGTTCCAATGGGACAGGAAATGAAAAAGAAATGGGAAAATCTTACATCTGGGCGATCAGATGTATAACCCGGCTAAATGTAGGTCGCCTAATTAACGATGCAACCCACTGGTTCCGTATACCTCTAAATTTAGTTGGGTTGTATTCCCGCCATCTTGTGGCAGAGCTTACAGGATTTCGTAAAAATATATCGATCGGGAGCTTACAGTAACCTAATTTTGTAGTGATTCACGTCCTACATGATACATCCAGTTCGTAAACTAACCTAAAACAGTTTCTTGTCTAGACTTGATGTTTTTCTAGCCGCTTTAACATTTGTTGACATAGATCGATCCCAGATTTTCGCTGAAAAAGACGTCTATTTATGTCTTACATCAATAAGGTTGCATAGCGCCTAGATTAGTTTTAGAAGGCTTAACCTAAGCTTTGTTATATCTACCTTTAATTGGTATATTGGTTCAACAATGCTAAATTATGTGGCCTTGTGAGAGGCGCCTACAACACTGCATGACATCAGAAATTTTAAATAGAATTTTGGAAAGAGTTTGTTAGTGTAAATGAAATACCTACCTAATTTATTGGTTCACAACGGACGTTACTTAATCAACATAAAATGTTAAAGACGAACTTAACCGCTTATCATTATTTGGTTTACGAAATCAACAAAGACGTGAACTAATTTAGTTGTCATTTATCAAAAGAAAACATTGAGACTTTTAACAAATTTAGTATCAGGTATTTATGTATATTTCAAATCATCATTATCGATTGAGGAAACATTGTTAATGTCAATGGTCATTAATCTTTGAATTTATAATTTTTTGAATGTATAAAAGTAAAAAAAGAATTGTCAACACAAAAATTTATAAGTTTAAGAGGCATAATTCATATTCTTTAGAATAACAAAATGTTTATATCCAACCAACACTTTATTTAAATGAATGAGTAATTATTCATTCATATCTCATTTCCTTATTCGTATCTACTCTTAACATCCTCAATTTGTTGTTCAATTTACTGGAATTATTATAGAATATTTTTTTAAAAGGAAAACTGTAAATACAACATTTAATGAAACAACATAAGCATATTTTCATTGATAATTTTACAAATAAAATATCTCAAATTTTGGTTATTCAAACTAAAATTATGAATATTTTTGATTTTTATTTTTGGTGGTGATGTTTAGGTACATTAAATGCAAACACCATTTTAAAACAAGTATGATGTAACTTTATACAGATCTTATCCAACAGATAGGTCACCCATTAGATAGGTCTATTAAGTAAATCTTTCTTTTCATTGAACATAAACTTTAAAAATCCCAATTGAATTTGTTGAATTAAAATTTAAACAATGCATGCTTCACAATGTTGCAATCACAACAAATGAGTTCATGGCTTACTTAGTATTGAATCAATGACATCCCAAGTTTTATGGGTCCAGCAGAATCTGGCAGCAGGAGTTGAGAAACAAAGAAAAAGTTTACAGTATACCACTACACGTGTTAGGGAAGGCTGGAGTTGCATGTTAGTAATATTCTAATTAATAACCAAACTCAGTCTTCTTGTGTGTTTGACCCAAATCCATTAGAGTAAATAGGTTGCTACCATCTTTCTAACCATTTCTGTGATGGATCAATCATGTACAGCCTAAACTGCCTGAGAGCAATTAACACATAATGATCTCATCGATTATGCTAGTAAAATACTAAATATGATAGTACTCATAAAAATATGATATTAATGTCACAGATTAGTTGCTGTCCATATTTATTTAAGAGTTCATTGAACTGGCTCACTTCCGATTTCTGTACCAATGTTTGACCAAACAGTTAGTGCTACTAGAAATGTTGACCTGGTTTTGGGATTACAAGATATATTCTGTGTAAGACTCACAGTTTAATCAGTATTTAAACCAAATGGCTCTGATTGGCAGCTTGCTATTTCAGACTTGAAACTGTATGTAATTTACTTATATTTTGTTTGAGGCATGTATTTTCTTTTATATTTATTTGCCTTAGTATCAGTATAGTTATTGGAGAATTTTCATCATTACAATACATAATAGTCTCTCGTTTGTGAAAATGTAGGGAACAATTATTATCACACTTTTCGTAAGTCCATAACAGTCAGTACCACTCTTCTTGTTCTTTCTTTCCTGTTACCTTCCGCTGGGGTGTAGGGCTCGCCAAGTTGTTCTGGAACGGCCTCTCTTTTCAACTGAAACTGGTACCATATTCTTGTCTAATTCTGACCATGAAGAAATATTTGCGGTTTGAAGACTGGGACTACCATTGTGCAATCCAACAGAGACTAACTTCTTTTTTTTTTATTGCTTAGATGGGCGGATGAACTCACAGCCCACCTGGTGTTAAGTGGTTATTGGAGCCCATAGATAACTACAACGTAAATGCGCCACCTACCTTCAGATATAAGTTCTAAGGTCTCAGTATGGTTACAACGGCTGTCCCACCCTTCAAACCGAAACGCATTACTGCTTCACGGCAGAAATAGGCAGGGAGGTGGTACCTACCCATGCGGACTCATAAGTAGTTCTACCACCAGATATACGCAAATTATAATTTTGCGAGTTTGAATTTTATTACACGATGTTATTCCTTCACCGTGGAAGTCAATCGTGAACATTTGTTGAGTACGTATTTCATTAGAAAAATTGGTACCCGCCTGCGGGATTCGAACACCGGTGCATCGCTAGATACGAATGCACCGGACGTCTTATCCTTTAGGCCACCACGACTACATATCTTCAGCTGGATGGCGTCATTCACAATGCAATAAAAAACTGTCCTAGAATTTAGTTTAGCGTTTAACCATTCCCAATGTAGCTATGTAGCTATACACGTTGATTTTTCCATAAATATGATCATGATTTAGTTTTATTGTTAATGAGTTGGCTTTATACTGTGAAAACGTTGCTTAGTAATGTCAAGGATGACAGCTCTCGTTTTTTTTGATGAGCTCATTCTCTTGGTACAAGTAACCGTGTCAAGGTTCTTTTCAGTCGATAATTATTTAATAAAGTTGTCCTTAAAAGAAACCGTCTATAGGTTACGTACGAAATTCGAAGTAGCCATGTTTTTTTTTTTCTTCTGTAAATGGGCACAAGGTGTTACAGCTGAATTGTATTCTATGACAGATGTCCCCCAAACACATAACCTAAAAGGGGCCAACTTTACTTTTAACTTTAGTATATTCTAAACATGTAAATGTTTTAAATTTTTATCTGCTAATAATATTTATTTTTAAAGCAGTTTGTCTAACATAATATTTGTTTGTGCTGTTATTAAAATCACAGATTCGCGTATGAGAAAATTGATTAAATTTATTTGTATTTAGTTTTTTTCTTTTCTCTATAAGCACCTGTCATTTTTGTGCATACTGTGACAAAATCAATTCCAAAGGCGTCGGAGCCTAATTTCTTTATTAAAAAAAAAAAAAAAAAAAAAAAAAAACGGTATCCTAAAAGTGCCTTACTAAGCACGAGTTTGGTGGTTACGGTACGCCGGGATACCAAAGAACTCTGGTAGCAATTCTTCGGTGAATTCTCTAGTCTTCTACGACGCGTAGATACGGAATGGGTGATGCTGTGCGTCCCAAACTATTAATCTGATCCGTACGTTGATGTTAGTGACCATTGCTGGAATGCTGAAAACGGCAAACTACGACCATTGCTAGAATGCTGAAAACGGTGGAACTCGGCAAAGAGTTCGACGTGCAGCCTAACCTAAGTATCAGCCCGCCGAGTTTCTCGCCGGATCTTCGCAGCGGATCGCGATTCCGATCCGGTAGTAGATTCATTCGCGAAGCGGCTACTCTTGAGTTGTTAGATCTCCCTTGGAGGCGCTCCGGTAGCTGTCTTCAAAGCATGAATCCTTAGTACAAAGTTGCAAAAAATCTATTTCTAAATGTAATTTTTTTTATGACGAAGATGATTATTATTTTCAAATTACAGCAATAAGTACTCCACGGTTTTTTGGAATCAAATTCATAAATTTGTTCTTAACTTAATCTAAATGTATAGATTCTTTTAAAAACAGCTACTCTTGAATTGTTAGGTCTCCCTTGGAGGCGCTCAGGCAGCTGTTAGCAAATCCCGCCCCTTCTAGCTGAGCCCTTGCTCGCCCACCTGTCCTTGGGAAACTGGAAAGACCTCCGGGCCACCAGTAAACCCTCAATCATAAAAAAAGGCCGTACATTTATAGAGCAGAGTGCATCTCTAAGACCGGGGAGACACTGCGATCCTCCGCACTGTTTTTCCAAAGACCGGTTTCGGTGTTGCTCAGTGCTGTGATAATGATGTCATTCTGAAAAGATTTCTTAAAGGTACGCAGCGGATTGGCTGGCATTACTAATTATGTCCACAAGCGATGGTGCCCGCTTGGGTTACTATCAGGTGGGTCGTATGCTTGTTCGCGTTCGAACGCAGTATTAACAATAAAGTCCAATCTAAGGTATTTTTATAAATTCGTTAACAAATTACGATAATTTTACATATTGTGTTAATTAATCTCAACTTTGTATTTAGTTGTTAAACAATATTAATTAGAATGTTGATAACCGTGAAATTATATTCAGTGATTGCGTGTGTGTTTGTGCGTGGTCAAATATCGATTTTTAAAAGCTTAAACCTTATTTAATATATAAATTAAAGATTGATTTACATGTTTCCTATGCTTAAAATATTTAGTTGATACATCATATTATTATGGATGGGACATTATTTTAACAACGAGCATTTCAAATCGCGCAACGTATTTATATTTATATAAAGCTTTTTATCCACTTTCTAATATTTAATAATGATGAACGCAAAAATTAGATGAACTAAAAATGTCTTTTATTTAGTATTAAGAATATTAGTTTAATATAGTCATCAAAGTTTCGTAACTCATTAAAGATGTTAAAAAGTTAATTACCTACCTAACAAC